ATTGCTGGTGGGACTGCAAATTGGTGCAGCCAATTTGGAAAGCAATATGGAGATTCCTTGGAAATATGGAATCATATGATCTTGGAACCACCATTTGACCCAGCTATCCTTCTCCTCTGTTTACATGCAAAAGACTTAAAAACAGCATACTACAGGGACACAGCCACATCAGTGGTTATAGCAGCACAATTCACAATAACTAAATTGTAGAGCCAACCTAGATGTCCTTCAGTGGATGAATGGATAAAAAAAATGTGGCATATATACACAATTGAATTTTACTCAGCATTAAAAAAGAACAAAATCATGGCAGTTGCAGGTGAATGGATGGCACTGGAGAAAATAATGCTAAGTGAAGTCAGCCAATTCCCCCCAAAAATAAATGTTGAATGTTTTCTCTGATATAAGGAGGTTGACTCATAGTGGGGTAGGGAAGAGGAGCATGGGAGGAATAGATGAATTCTATATAGGGAAGAGGGGTGGGAGGGAAAGGGAGGGGGCAGGGGATTAGCAAGGATGGTAGAATGTGATGGACATCATTATACAAAGTACATATATGAAGACTTGAATTAGGTGTTAACATACTTTATATGCAAACAGAGATACAAAAAATTGTGGTATATATAGTATTAAGAATTGTAATGCAAACAACAACAAGAAAGTACATGTATAAAGGCATAAATTGGTGTGAACATACTTTATATAAAGAGATAAGATAAATTGTGCCCTATATGTGTAATAAGAATTGTAATGCTTTCCACTGCTGTCATGCATTTAAAAAAAAAAAAAAGACAGAGAAGAGTCAACATCGAGAATATATAAGAAACTTAAGAAACTTAATAAAAAAAAAGAAAAATAGTAAAACACATAATCTGATTTAAAAATGGGCAATAGACCTAAAGAGACATTTCTCAAAAGAAGACAGAAACAACCTACAGATAGATGAAAAATACATAACATCATTAATCATCAGGGAAATGCAAATCAAAACCACAATGAGATATCACCTCATTCCAGTTAGAATGGCTATTACCAAAAAGATTAAAGATAACAAGTATTGACAAGGATGTAGAAAAAAGAGAACCTCTGCACACCATTTGAAGGAATGTAAATTAGTACAGCAATTATGGAAAACAATAGGGTGGTTCCTCAGAAAATTAAAAATAAAATGACCATATGATCCAGCAATCACACTACTAATCATATATTCAAAGCAAATGAAATTACTATGTAAACTAGACATCTTTGTTTATTGAAGCACTGTTCACAACAGCCAAGAAATGTAATAAAACTAAGTATCCCATCAATTGATGAATGGATAAAGAAAGTTTGGTACATTTACACAATGAAATACTATCTAGACATAAAAATAATGAAATTCAATCATTTATAACAACATGGATAAGCAGGAAAATACTTTCTTAAGTGAAATAAGCCAGACATAGAAAGACAAATACCACATAACATCACTCATATGTCTAAAGAAATTTATCTCATAGAAGTAGAATTTAAAATAATGGTTACCAAAGGCTGTAGAATGTATGGGAAAAGGTTGGTTAATGGATACTAAGGTATAGTTAAATGTGAGAAATAAGTTCTATGTTCTATTTCACAGTAGTGTGACTATAGATAATGAAAATGTACTGTATATGTTTTAAAAGCTTCAAGACAAGATTTTTAATGGTTTCATGGCATAGAAGTGATGTTTGAGGAAAGAGACATACTTGCCCTGATTTGAACATTATATTATATATGCAAGTGTGTGTATGTGTGTGTATATGTATACGTGTATAAAAATAGCACATAGTATCCCATAAATATGTACAATACTCATGTGTCAATTAAAAAATCATTTGGGTTTGCAAAAAAGAAAACATACTTTGACATCTTAACAAAAAATAAGATGAAATTATGAACTAAAACTAGAAAAATATTTTTAGGAATACAACATAATTACATTAATTAGACCAGAGTAGCTATACTTATTTTTTAAAATCCCAAAAGTTGCTTTTTAAGTTTCAAAATGTAAAACACAATAAAGGAAAAACCTCTATCCCATTCACTACTCAATATAACAATTTAATTTTATTCTACTGAGATAACTAAAAAAGGAATGCCAGATATTTATACCAAAAGAAAACTCTCTCCAAACATGCAATAATCAAGTGTAATGCGTGTGGCTTTTACTTTTATCCCATAGCTAATCTGGAAGTCAATAAAAATTTAAAAGAATGTAATTAAAGATCACAGTATACACAAAATATCAATGATAGAGTGGTGCCCCCAAGTGGCATAATGAGAAACTGCAATACTTTGATTGTAAATTTTCTTTTATAAGTTTTAGAGATGTAAAAGAGTAAATGACAACAGAATTATTATATCGAAAAAAATCCTTGAAGAAGTTTTTTAAAATCACATGCCTAATAGCAAATTACTTTGGAAGATTTGTTTCTCAAAAGAAGAGTGCAAAAGAAAAACTTCCACTTAGTAGAGGATTCCAAAAGCAGTCACTGGGTAGATTGGCTAAAGTTTGATTAGACTTCCTTTAATTATTTTATTGACTTGGCTTGTTTATAATTAACGTGAATTTCAGTTGTTACTGAGTGATAATTCTCTGTAAGGCCATGTGATAGCTTCATCTTATAAAAATAGGTAGACATTTTATTTAATCCTTATTACAGTCTTATGAGATATTATACCACGTTACAGATGAGCATAGTAAAGTTCATATTAGGAACCAGAGTAACATTAACCTCACAGTTAAAAACAGGTATGCTTTACTCTTTGGCTTCTTTAGCTTCTGAGCCATGGTCTTAATGATGACACTGTAGTGCCCTCTTTCTAGCATTCTAGGATTTCATGAGCAGTCATATCCATTCTCTTTCCGGGTTTAGTAAATTTCCAGAAAAAAAAAAAAAAAACAGCAGATAGTGGAAAGGTAAGATGAAGTTAGGCCTAAGGGACATGAACAGGAGCAGGAATGTGGCTAATCAGAGAACAAAGAATTTGTCTAAAGGGAGTAGTTGCTAGCCAGGTCCAGTCCACTGTGGCTACATAGGCACAGATTTTAGCAAATGTTACTCAACCTTTTTGTTTTATTGTTCTAAAGGAGATAAAATGCTCAATTTTTGAGAGCTGCCCATTTGAAAATACTAGCAACTAATTTAGGATTAAAAAGAAATTCTATGCAGACCAAACAAAACACACCTGAAGGCTGCATTCGACCAGTATGTAATTTATTTTAGATGATGAATGATTCCTTTTCCAAATAGTCCTAGACTACACCTTTTAGTGCCAAATGATTTGACCATTATTCTCACCATTGGATTCACTCCACAACACTAGGATTTGTCTGTCATCTCCAGCTCAAGTCTTGTGTTTTAAGATTATTTCCAATATAAGAAAGGTCACTTATAAATCATTACCAGCCAACCAGTCCCAGACCCCCCACCTTTTCTTACTTTCTTTCCCCCTATGAACAGCCTCACATACCCACCCCCACACACTACACACTACACACATTAATGTCAAGTCCAGAGCTTTCAAGATTGGTTTTCACACATTTTATTTTAGCTCCTTTTAATCAACATTTTAGCCTTTCTGTGAATTCTCTTTAAATTCCTCATCTCTCTCATTAGTTGAAAAAACTCAAATTTGACATGGTCCAAAGTGTGGTTTTTATAAGTCCTCAGCCAAAATTAGGTCTTATGCTCAATGCTGAAGGCTCTCTAATAATTGCCAAATATTCATCATCCTACTCTGTGCTGCTAGAAGAGCACCTCTAGGATTAAAGGGGAAAAATCCTTTGGGGGGCAGGAGTCATAATGCATGTTCTAAGAATATCAGTAAAATTCCAGCTCTTTCACCATTCTTCATGTAGAAATTTATTGAAAACTATTTAAAATTACAACTTTAAAAAATTCTACACAAACTACTTTAAAGGTTGATCTTTAAAATAAAGTAGTAGCATTAGTGACACTTGCTTTTGTAATTTCTGTGAATATGAAGAAGTAGAAAAGTATTTATCACACACTAACTTTAAATCTGCACTTAAATATCCAATGAGAAAAAGCTGGAGTAACTCAGTATCTAAAAAACTTCTGAATAAAAGAACAGACTATGGGATGGAAATCTGGTCTTCTAGGGCTAAGGGCTGATTTCTTGGATCATTTTGCTTCTGCTTTCTCTGCTCCTGTTTCTAATTGCAAGTTTCTTATCCTAACTTCAGTTCCAACTTTCACTGCCAAAATTAAAAAAAAAAAAAAAAAGCTTTAAGCTAAAAATGAAAGTGTATCCTCATCCAGAAGAAATGTACTATCCAAAAAGTATTATTACATTTTTCTCTGGGAGTTATGGGGTCAAAACCAAAGAAAAGCAATTTACAAGGAAGTCATTAACATAAGCTAATTTTAAACAAAGACTGAATTTGGTTTAAATATCTATCTGAGGGCTTTTTGAGTACAGATTTTGAAAATTTCTTTCAGAGAAAAAGAAAATTAATGCCATGTTTCCTTTAATACATCATTTTCACCTCAAATGTGAATTACTGCTTATTTATATTTCATAACACTTCTAAAAGTGCAGTCATAAACATTACTTCTTTTTCTTATTCAAGAAGTTTCAATCAAGTTCAGTGTAAGCAATATTGTAACTGGGACTGTGGTTTACTAAAAAATTATCATATGATCTATCCCATTTACCTTCTTTAGGTCATTTGGATACTTTATTCACAACGGAAATGCCTTTAAGAACCTTATCTGGGGCTGGGGTATAACTGAGTGGCAGAGCGCTTGCCTGGCAAGCATGAGGCCCTGAGTTCAATTCCCAAGACCACAAAAGAAGAAAGAAAAAAAAAACATATCTGAAGAGATAAATGAAGGAATAGCTTTAGTAGCTTCTTGCTTTAATGCAAAAAACAGGTTCAAGGTTATCCAATGTTCTTAATCAGCCAGTAGTTGCACATACAGGGAGCCAAGGTCAGTATGAAGCATTTTACTTACAATTCCTCTCCTCTTTTGGCTTTCCTATCTGAAACCAGATAGACAGTTCCAAAACTTCCACTTCCAAGTTTCTGCTGAAGCACATATCTTCTTGCAATCAAGGTCTCTGGATAAGTGGAAACAGCTGTTGATGCACACATACACTTAGCTGCCTCTTGGAATTTCAACATCGCTCCAAACAAGATAGTACTGGTCTATTCATTTATAGAAACTTAACAATCAAGTCTCCTAATAGATGATCCAATTCATCCAGCAAATGTTGGTCAATGCCTGAAATGTGAAAAATCCACACATCAGGTCTAAAAGATGCTGACTCCTACAGAATATATAAGTATTAGACAGTGAGAACTGCACCTTGATTAACAGACTGAATGATTCCTTATTGGTTAGTTATAATGATTTCAAAGGAAAGAAAAAAGGTAGAAGCTGCAAATTCCAGGACAAGGCAATCTTTCATGGTAAGAGAGTCTATCTTAGTACATCCAAATTTGTCAAAACTAAAAACAAACAAAAGGCTATCCAGCCCATCTGGTGGTACACAGCTGTAATCCCAGCTACTCAGGAGGCTGAGGCAGAAGAATTTCAAATTAGAGGCCAGTCCAGGCAATTTGGAAAGACCCTAATCAACTTAGCAAAATCCTTAATAAAATTAAAAATAAAAAGGGTATATACAAAAATTGGAACAATACAGAAAAGATTAGCATGGTACCTGAGCAAGGATGGCATGCAAATTTGTGAAGGATCCCTTATTTTAAAAATGTTTTAAAATAAAAATAAAAAGGGCTGGAGATGAAGCTCAGTGGTAAGGTACCCCTTGGATTCAAACCCCAAAAGAAGGGGAGAGGGAGAGAGGGAGAGAAAGAGGGAGACAGAGAGGGAAAGACAGAGGTGGGGGGTGGGGAGAGAGAGAGAGAGAGAGAGAGAGAGAGAGAGAGAGAGAGAGAGAGAGAGAGAGAGAGAGAGAGGAAACAAAAAGGAAACCATGAAAAATGATGGCCTGGGAACCACACATACATCTGTACTCCCAGTGATTCCAGAGATTGAGGCAGAAGGATCGCAAATTTGATGCCAGCCTTTGTAAGACCCTGTCTCAAATTAAAAAATAAGGAGAGCTGAGGATGTGGCTCAGTGGTAAAGTGCCCTTGGGTTCAATCTTCAGTACAATAAGTAAATAATAAGGCTGGGGAATCTATCCCAGTAATAGAGTATCCTGGGGTTAAATCTCTGGGACCATCAAAAAAAAAATCCAAATACAGTTGTCAATTCCTTAAATCTACACACTTGCATCAACATTTTGCAATACTCTCTTTGCACTTTAGGTCTATTATGGTTTACAAATACTGAGTTAGAATTAAAGAAGATAGCTTAATACTGGTTTAGTTTTTTTTCCTGTAAATTTTAATCATAGTTTTTCCACTTATTATAATAGATGAGAGGAAGGATAAGAATTCAGAATGAATTTCTTCCCATGTTAAGCAAATTCTGATCCAGTTTCTGAAGCTTCTATTATACCCTGTGGGTAGAGAGTAATCTCTCTGGGTTAGAATACAAATGTATTTCAAAACTAAAATCATATTCTAATATTAGTTGAATATAAATATGCTATGGATAAATCTGTAATTCCTCAAGGACATATGAAATGTATGGCAGAGTTATGAGAAGTAGGACTATTTCATGAGTAGGTACATAGTAAAATCATTTTTATTTCATCAAAATGTTAACTGTTTTGCTAGTAATCATGAAAATTATGCTTTTGTTTTAAATCTATATGAAAATGATTTTAAATTGAAGACTATGCCTTGAAGTTAGGTTTTCATATTCAATAATTCCAAAGTAGTAAGTAAAAAAGCTATTGTTTGGGGGGCTGGGTTGTGGCTCAGTGGTAGAGTGCTTGCCTAGCATGTGTGAGGCACTGAGTTCGATTCTTAGCAACACATATAAATAAATAAATTAAATAAAGGTCCATCAACAACTAAAAAATATTTTTTAAAAAATCTATTGTTCATAATGAAGATCAGTTGTCTTTATGTGATAGTAGTGTCAATGACAATCAACCACAAAATGACCTCATATATTCTTAAAAGAGAACATAAACATGTAAATATCCATTTATTAAATTTTATTACTTAAAAATCCATTGATCACATTTTATTTACTTAAATTATTATTTATTACATTTTATTTTCAAACTAATTAGTTGTTTCACCCCATGCCAGTGAGATTAGAGAAATGCCCCTCCTCAAAGAAATATTAGTGAAATTTGCTGCTAAAAAAAAAAAAAATAGGGAAAACTGGAGAGCAGGCCTCTAATCTCTAAATGTACCTTTTGTTTTCCTCACTAGCATATAAAAGTATATTCTGGACAAATTGAGCTGTTCAGAAAAAAGTATGGACTCTCAATCTTTTCAACTGAAAACAGGGCTTCAGATCCCTCAGTAATTCTTATTCTAGAGAGATTAAAGTCCCCAGTTAGTAAAGCACAGAATTCGAGGGCAGAATAGTTATGGGAAGTTCAGATCCAGAACTCCTATTTGTAAAGAAGAGTTTAAATCTGGCAGCGGGCAAGCAGTCTGTCCTGGGCTGCAGAGTACTCTGGGGTTAGGGTCCCTGCAGCCCAACCTCACATCAGCCCTGCCACCCTGGGTCATCCCAGTGCACGTGTAGCCCATCCCTTCCCCTGGTCTCCTATAAGTCTACCCAGCAATGTACCAGCTTTTAGATTTACAGTTCACTTGATCCACCTGTTCTCTCATCAACACCCCTAACCCCTGAGCGCAAGAAGAAACCTTTGTATCCCCAGGACTTGGCACAACACCTGACATATACGAGAATGTTATGAGGGCAAAATAGTGTCCAACAGACTAACTGCCGCCCAAAGGGGGTGGGGGGTGGGGGGAAAGAGGAGACAAATGAAAAGATGGATGAGAACCTACAGAAAGGGGAGAGATTATCTTCTTATGCAAGTTGTCCACGGGAAGTGAAAAGAATTTCCCTGGAGCAAAAACAAAGGAAAGGTGAGTGTTTACCACTTGCTAAAACTAAGTAATAAACTTGTTCCCTGGTAATAAATTCGAGGAAGCCGATTTGACCCCAGGTTCTGCTAAACTAGACGTCTAACTGTCCTTAAAGGTAAACTTCAACTTTGACGTAAAACAAACAATTCTCAAAGCTGATTAGGCCATATCGAGGGGAACAGATACTCTTATTTTCCCAAGACTAAGAGATCCCGGAGGTGACGAGTCGGGGATAAGGAGAAGAAGCAAGGAGAGAGGCCTAGAGAAGCAGGACCCTGCCCGCGGCAGCTCGAAGTCACGACCTTCCCCGCGAGGAGGAGCGGGGCACGCCGCGAGGAGCGCAGTTCGCTTTACCTTTCGCCGCCGCGGGCGGAGGAGCGGCGGCCCCGGCGGCATGCCCGAGTCCCGCCAGTAACTCGGCGGGCCTCAATTTAGGGGCAGCGGTACCCCGCCGTGCTCCAGAACACCGAGGCTACAGCTGTTTGGCGCCGTCGCCAAGGAGACGGCGCGGGGCATGCTGGGAAGTCGGGGCGAGGCTTTCACCCAGGCGGAAGTGCTCGTGGACCCAAATAGGTGTGTGTGGGATGGGGGGGAGACCTGCGGGCCCAGCTTCCCAGCTAGACAGCAGCCGTTTCTAAACATACGTCCCAACCTTCTTTAGCAATTGAGCATCTCTGGGCCCGAGAAGCACCTTCGCCTCCCGACCGCCTAGTCTGGCACCCTGGTCTTCACCGAACTCGACTTCCCGTTGACGCCACACCGGAGACTTCCGGTTGCCGGCCTTGGGCTTAAACTGCCTAACGCGGGGGCTGCGAGTCCCCTGGGCTCCTGCGGGATTCTGATGGAGGAGCTACTTCTGCGAGGGCACAGCAGGAGGGCGCCGCTGCTGGTCGGGGCAGGTTGTGAACACCGGGGTGGCGCGGCGCACCAAGGCCTGTATTTGAGGAATTAGACCTTTTGAGCACCATTTGCTACCCAGTTGGCATTTGCTGAACAACTACTTCGTGCACGGCCCTCTAATGGGCTTAGAGCGAGTCAACAAGATCTGTATTCGCAGACGCTTTACACGACAGACTGTAAAGAAACTAGAACTATATAGGATGAGGTGCTGAGAAATGAACAAGACTGGGACTAGGCTGAGGTGAGTCAAGGGCAAAATATAAGTGGATGTCAAAAAATTTAGTGATCAAGATAATAAATAAACTTTAATGCAGTGTCTCTAAAATCCAAAATGCATTGTTGACAAAATGCAGGGTTTTAAATAAAGGCAGGTTTGGTCATAATACCATTACTGAGCCATAGTGAACCCTGAAACTAAAAGAAAACAAACAGTAATACTAATTCTGTAAGTTGTTACCCAAGTAGGGAAGATAAACTGCTTCAGATATATGCATGATAAGATGAAAAGAGTTTCCAGATGGAATGATCTGGTAGTTGGATTCCTAGAGACAGGAAGCAGTAGTTTTCCTTACCAATTTAGAAGGGCCCACAAGCCCAGGACCTGAAAGAAGTTCCTAAATGCTGATTATCAATAAAAAAGAAAAACTAGATGACTATCATGGGTCCTGCACACTTGAGTTTACTGAAATCCAGTGCTTTCTGATTATTTTTATGAGATTGATAAGGATATCATTTTTGTAGCTTAGCACTTTTTATTTTGCCCCACAAAAGTCCATAGAACTTACATTCTGGTGTATCCATAATGGATTTTAGCTGATTTTCCTTTAGAATCATCATCAGTCTCTCTCTCTGTCCAAAGATTAAAACCCATGGAATCAATGAATTGTGCCTTATCTCACACAGGAAAACAAAAGTGCTCAGCTAATATTGCCTGAGGAACTAGGTATGAATTCAGAGATGGTGACAACCAACATGTTCCATCTAAAGAACACTTTATAACATTTGCTACTTATTGATTTAATGGGGCTGAGAGCCATGATTTGAAAATGTGTTCCATTGTTTTAAACAGGCAGTTCTTCAAACTGTTATCATGGGTATCCGAGGACTAATGAGTTTCGTGGAAGATCACAGTAATGAGTTCTTCACTGATTTGAAGTTGCGGGACACAAAAATTATCATTGATGGCTATGCTCTTTTCCACCGACTTTGCTTCAATTCAAATTTGGAGCTTCGGTATGGAGGGGACTATGATTCTTTTGCAGAGGTTGTAGAAAACTTCTTTGAATCACTGTTTGCTTGTAATATATGCCCATATGTTGTATTAGATGGAGGATGTGACATTTCAGATAAAAAGCTTATAACTTTAAAGGATCGAGCTAGAGAGAAGATTCAGATGGCCCATTCCCTATCTATTGGTGGGGGTGGGTGTGTGTGTCCCTTACTCATCCGTGAAGTGTTCCTACAGGTTTTGATCAAGCTGCAAGTATGTTTTGTCCAGTGCTTTTCAGAAGCAGATCAGGATATTATGACACTTGCCAATCACTGGAATTGCCCTGTGTTATCATCAGATAGTGACTTTTGCATTTTTGACCTGAAAACAGGGTTTTGTCCATTGAATGGCTTCCAGTGGAGAAATATGAACACTATTAAGGGCACACAAAACTACTATATTCCTGCCAAATGCTTTTCCCTTGATGCACTCTGCCATTACTTCAGCAATATGAACAAAGCTCTACTACCTCTCTTCGCAGTACTGTGTGGGAATGACCATATTAATCTGCCCATCATAGAGACATTCTTAAGTAAAGTACGCCTTCCTCTTAGAGCTACTAGTTCTAAGGGAAGGAGACACCACCGAGTTCTGGGACTTCTGAACTGGTTGTCTCATTTTGCTGACCCTACTGAAGCACTAGATAATGTTCTGAAATACCTCCCAAAAAAGGATCGAGAAAATGTTAAGGAACTTCTCTGCTGTTCTATGGAGGAATACCAGCAGTCCCAGGTGAAGTTGCAGGACTTCTTCCAAAATGGTACTTATGTTTGTCCAGATGCCTTGAATCTCGGTTTACCAGAATGGGTACTAGTGGCTTTATCCAAAGGCCAGCTGTCTCCTTTCATCAGTGATGCTCTGGTGCTAAGACGGACCATTCTCCAAACACAGGTAGAAAACATGCAGCGACCAAATGCCCACAAAATATCTCAGCCCATCCGGCAAGTTATCTATGGGCTTCTTTTAAATTCTTTGTCACATGTAGAAAACATGTCCTGGAGTGCCTTGCCTCATCAGCCTCTAGCTTTCAGTGAAGTAGAAAGGATTCATCAAAACATCAAAACATCAATTGTTCATGCAGTAGAACTGCCCAAAGATCATTCTGATTTGAGCAAATTGACCAAGGTAAGTATAATACTAATGACATTTTAATTAATCACTTTACTGTGCCATTACATGTATCATTTCTCTTAACATGATAAACTGAGGTTAGTTGCTGTCTTGCCTTCATTTCATAGAACTCAAGTGAACTAGGTAATATCTTAGCCAGAGGGTCATTGCGAAGACTCAGACTTAACACTTCTTAACTCTAAATCTGTCATTTCCACAGTGTTTTCTTTACAATTATCACTACTGTATTGATAGCAGCTATCAATAGAATGGGGTTATGTGGCTTTACAAAAATAACAAAAAATTCTGAACTACAGAAATAAAGTATACATATAGGCACTTGATATTGGTATAACATCTAATACTACATCAGGTTTCGATTAATATTAGTACTGATGGGTAGGTCTAATGTTTTTTATTGACGAGGACCTTTTTTTTTAGGCTTCAGGTTTACGCATCATAGTGACTTGCTTGGTTTGATACTCATGATTCTCAGCCTCACTTGGCATTGCTTAACCTGGGTAACACTCAGATCAATCCCTGTTTCAAGGGCAAAATGTTCTTATGAATCCCAGTGTTGCCTTCATTTTTTATACTATTTAATTATATTAAAAATTATAAAATAAAACTGTTTGTTTGCAGTTAAACTTACAAATTAAATGCAGATAAGCCTCCCACAACAAAGAATAATCTGGCCTCATAGACCCATTGATGCAGTTCCTGGCCTACACCATTGTTTAAAAACTAGCCTCTTAAGCCTCCCAGTGGTGACATCTCAAGAATGAGGAAAAAGGATTCATATTAAATGGGTGTAAGGACCTCTTTGACATTAGGGACTGCTAATAGGAACAGGGATTCTTTGGGGAGTGCTGAAAATGATCTGGAATTGCCAATGGTTGTAGACACTTTGTAAATATACTAAAACTATTAAGTTGAATACTTTTAAAGGGTAAAATTTATGACATGTGTATTATATTTTGAAGAGTTGTTTTTAAGCCACCTTCTCCAGAGGATCTAATCTTTCTCATGATAATTCCATAGACAAAGCTTCTGGGGTCCCTTCAAGGGCCATGCCTAATTATAAATTACTATACTCAGAGAAGCCCCAAGATGTGGTGTCCACATTAAGTGTATATAGTTCATTTATAGATCAGACCTAGATGCAGTTTTATGTCATTCTTATCATGCTTAGTAATAAAACTGACAATCAATAGCATTCTCATTGTTACAGAACTAGAAAGTTGAGCATAAGTCACATTCTCAAACAAGTAATTAAAACTCTACCCATATCAATAAAATTCAAATTAGCAATTGTTATGGTTTGGCTATGAGGTGTACTTCAAAAGCTCCTGAGTTGGGCTGGGGATGTGGCTCAAGCAGTAGCGTGCTCGCCTGGCATGCGTGCGGCCCGGGTTCGATCCTCAGCACCACATACAAACAAGATGTTGTGTCCACCGAAAACTAAAAAAATAAATATTAAAAATTCAAAAAAAAAAAAGCTCCTGAGTTAATTCAAGAATGTTTGAAAGTGAACATCCAAGTTTGAATGGGTAATTGTGGGCTGGTGGAGCATGATGGAAGGAGGTGGGTCATTAGGGTCATACTCTGGAAGGGTGAGTTCATCTTTTCTCTATCCCTTCTCTTCTGCTTCCTGGCCACCATGAATGGAGCAGTGGTTCTCTGCCACAACATTCTGCCATGATGTCCTGCTGTCTCACCATGGACTCAGAGCAGTAGACTTGACTGATCATGGACTGTAGCTCTGGAACCATGAGCCAAAATAAAATTTTCCTTCTTTAAGTTGCTCTCATCAGGTCACAGCATCATAAAGCTAACACAAAAGTATTCTTAAGAATGATATTTGCTGAAGATCAATTTCTATTCAAACATAAATAGTACATTGGAATTTTGCAATTTTTAAACTTTTTAAATGACTTTACTGAAAAATAAATGTACAATGAAGTGCACATATCTAAAGTGTGCACTTTGATGAAGATTTACATGTTCATATCTGTGAATCCATCCTACAATTTATGTGCCTACGACTTCTCTAAGAGTTTCCTCTGCCCCTTTGTAATTACTCCCTCCCTAGGTATATGCATATAGCAGAGTGCACATAGTCATACAGATGGATTTATTATCACAAAATCGATACATCCATGCAAAGAAAACCCAAATGAATAATAACTAACACCACCCCAGAAGCTTTCCATAGAGTCTGGTTCCAGTCACCATCTCTTCCACCCTCTGTAATCTTTCTCCTGACCTTTTAACAATGCAATTGTACTCATATAACTATGAAGGAATTCTTTCATCCTTAAATTAACATGTTTCACTGTGAAAAGCTATAGATCATTCATTTATCATTACTGTAAACATTGCATTGTGGAAACATACCACAATTGACTTTTCTGCTTTATTGGTGATGGGCATTGGGGCAGTTTCCAGTTTGAGCTATTTCAAATAGTGCCATGAACATTCCAGTACACGATTTAATGGACATATTTCTGTTTGCATATGTAACTACTAGGAACTTGCTGGGTCATACTCTCACACATGGAAGTTCAGCGTATAAGAAGTATTACTATATAGCATTCCAACGCATTGTACCAACTAATATTCCTAACCAGTAGCATGAGAGTAACTCTTACACCCTTGGGACTATTTTTTTTCTTGCCTTTCACATTTTTTTTTTAAAGCTATTCTGGTGGTTGTGTAGTAGTATCATTTTAGTCAGTTAGGTGGGTAATTTGTATTTCTTTGATGACTTGAGCACCTTTTCATGGGCTCATTACCTATCTGGATATTCTTTTTTGTGTTTTTTTGTTCCAATACTTTGCCTGTTTTTCTGTGGTTTTGCCTGCCAGTCCTTTGTCAAATACAGTATTTGCAAATAGTCTCATCTATTCTTTTATATTTTAATGAACAGGTCTTAATAAAAATTTAAATGACTACATTATTTATGGGATACCACTTTTGTGAGATACTTAAGAAATCCTTGCCTCTCCAAGGTCATGAAAATGGTTTTCTGCATTTCACATTTAGATCTATCATCTACAGAGCTCATTGTGTTTGTTTGTGTTTGTGTGGTGTGAAACCAGTCAGGACACCCATATGGAAATCCAACTGAATCAATGCATTAGAGCGTGCTGATCATATTCCTTGCCAAGTGAAATGACAAGTGTTCTTAAAACTTACCTGCACTCAGAGAAGGGTGAAATTTTAGTTCATTCTGTGATCTTGGGTCATCTGGCTTTCTTTTAGCATAGAAATTAATTCTGTATTTATCTTGATGCCTTTGGCTCTGATTGGCCCTTGATAAATCTAAACCAGGTGCAAATGTGATTCCAAGCACAAATGCAGGTACAAGTATTATTGTTTTTAACATGCTATATTAATAATACTTTATCTGCTTTGTGCCAGTTTTTGTGATAGAAACTTTACACAATGTTTCATTTAATTCCCACAGAAACCACATGGGTTACCATGTTAGTTGTTAGCAGTGGACAGAACACCTCTCAAGTTAAAACAGGAGGTTGTTAATCACAAGGAGACATGGAAGTGGATCATTCTTGGTGTATGAGGCAGTACCAAGATCAGCCTCTTTCTGGATACTTCTGCCTCTCCTGTGGCAGCTTCTGCAGGCCTGTACTTTCACTCCCCAAGGGAAAGGGAAAGGAGTTGTCACATGCAATAAAATCTAAGGAGCTTTAAAGGGCTATGAGCACAGTAGTTTCCTTTTTGGAAGGAGCCAAGGACTGGTGAGTTCAATGATAATATCATTTAATGCCTATTTTACATATGATCAGACAAACTGTAGAAAATAACAAAACTTGCCCAAAGGAAAGTTGAGTGCAGAATACCTCTGAAATCAAAGCCCATTCTTTGCTTTGTTCATAAAAGTTCTAACTTGGCTTGAGAATTGATAACTTAAGCATTATATGACAGAAAATAATTAATGTAGTTCTGTGTGCTTTTTAAAGTTTGGGACATGTATTTTTATTTTACTTTAATTAATGCTACTTCTAGCAAGCATTATTGTTATACTGAAAGCACTTCATATACTTCTAATTAAAAAAATTCTTATTACTTAGAATCATCATACTATTCAAAATCTCCATGCATTGAAGATGAAACCATTTTGTCAGTTATGATGTTTTCAGATTAACAATCCATTCTCAACTGTCAGCCACACTTAATACTGATAAAAAGTGTTAGATGCTAAGAAATGTACAAGACTATCTTGTCCTCCCAGAAAGAAAAAAATCTTTTCATGGCAGCATCCAGACACTAGGAATACAATTATTTTCTTAAAAGTTTGATTATAAAGTTCCCCTGAAAGATACCCTTTTAACAGTCTTAATGTCCTTATTAGTAAGAGTGTGACTTATAAGACCTTTTTCTCAAAGTCTTTTGAGATCAAGGTAAAAATTATTTCTACAAGAAGGTCAAAATCCTCATGGCTGTTAACTTCTGACTTTTTTGAAGTACACTCTATAAAGCATGAAAAAAGGGTGTGTGTTATTGCAAGGACAGTGCAGTTCTGTCTCCCTTGTCCACCACTGGACAATCCCAGGATGGGAGAAAAGCAGACAATAAAACATTCAGCAGGCAAGGGACATGAGACAGGACTCAAACAGAAGGCTATATAAGTACATATAACATTTGTCTTCTGTAGGTGATTAGGAATGGCATCATGGAGAAAGTGGCACCTAAATACTCACCAGCAAGTAAGAGCAGGGTTGAATATCGATCTGTTTTTTAAAGCAGAATACCTGGACTACTAGTTAAAAGTGCAGATTGCTGTGTTCACCAAATTACTCAAAGTAGGGGACAAGGTCTGAGGAACAAATTTCTAGCAGCCTTCCCAAGTGATGTGCGCACATGTGCTTAGCAGCAGAGAGGCTGCAATAGCAACAGACTTTTTAGAGGGAGCAGACCACACACCCATTTATGTATCTAATCAGTGTTTTCAATGTTTTGGGTATAGATGACTTTTTTCTCCTCAGAAATAATTTCCACAGCTGACATTAAATCTCTTCTTGCTGTTAAAAAGAAAATAGAGGGAAAAAAATTCCCCAAAGTAATTTGTAGGATGTTTGGTGTGTATTTTCAGGTCTCCTTCGTTAGGCGGAAGATGCTTCTGTTAGAAACCCTAAAGGTGAAACAGACCATCCTGGAGCCAATCCCTACTTCTCTGAAGTTGCCTATTGCTGTCAGTTGCTACTGGTTGCAGCATGCAGAGGCCAAGGCAAAGCTACATCATCTACAAGCCCTTCTGCTGGGGATGCTGATGGGGCCTTTGCATGCCATAATCAACAGCCCTCGTAGGTATCTGGAAATTCCAGGTGCATGTCTTTGCATGTTGGTTACCAACTGTGTACACTCAAGAATTCACACAAATCCAAATTATTTACCCTTATGAATTACATCAGACTTAAAGGCACCAAAATGTCATTTATTCATTGGTAAATATTTCTAAATACTTCCATGTGCTGTGCTTCCATGTGATGTGCCAGGGGCTTGACTCCCAAATATACAGCTGGTATGTATTGACACTGCCTGATCCCACCCTGCAACCTGGCAGGCTCAGTGCCTTGCTGTTTGATAATTGGTAAAAGGTGGGCCTTTTTACTACTTTAAAGGCACCTAATGCTTTAGGGAAGGGTGACTGTGTTTTGCCAGTTGCATTTTGAGTCCATGCTTCCCACCCCATTTTTAATACAGCAACACCATCACAGGAAGCTTATTTAAAATTACTGAAAGTCAAACTTCTGAATACCTACAACCACAGTAAATATTCATGTTTGTGCTTTAAAAAAAAAAAAATCTTTTTCCCCTCTACTGTGAGTTTAATTAGGAAAAAAACCCTCTATTTCTACTACAGAAATATACTGAAGCAATTTCATCTGCATTTATCTGGTGAAATAAGTCTTCAAGCATTGAAACACCACAGTACGTTAATGCAACATTCCCTTTAAGATTATGAATGCTGTAATACTATCTAAACAAGTATGAAATTTTCATACATAAAAACAGTACTAATATGGTAGCTATCAGCCATCTAAGGTTAAATTCAAGTTAAAAATTCAACTTTCTCAATCACATTAGCCCCATTTCAAGTGCTCAGTAACCACATGTGGATACAGGATACTGTGTTAGCACTGATTTAGAACATTTCCATAACTGCAGGAAGTTTTACTGGATAGCACTACTCTGCAGTTGGCTTTTTAAAAGAATAAGTTAAATGAGAAGAGTGAAACAGCATGAACTCCAAAAACACCCCAAGTATTAAGAGACTCAAGTGTGACAATAGCCATCAGAGAGACTTTGGATATATGACAACCAACAAACATAACAAACTGCTTAATAAGAACAAAAGTTGAGGGTTGTTCCTCTCTGAATAATACAGTAAAGAAAATTCTCAGGAGTAAAAACTATTACATTTTTACCTGAGTCCTACAGAAGGGACATGTCAAGGGTCTATTTCTTTTCTTTTAGGAAATGTGAACCCTGCACCCTGGCAGGCTCAGTGCCTTGCTGCTTGATAATTGGTAAAAGGTGGGCCTTTTTATTACTTCAAAGTTGGTCCAGTTGTAATTTTGCACATCTCCACTCAAACCTACATAGAAACATTGAGCTAAACACATGCAGCATTCTTGCCCCTTAAAGAAGCTTTTTGTCAAAGTCCGAGTCATACTTTTGTTTTTGTCTCATAAAGCAGGTAAAAGTGTTTTGGACACAGCTATTTCTTTAAAACAAGTGCACTACAGCATGAGGTTTCTGTGAAAGGAAGATTAGTGAAAGAGAAAAGTAAAGAGAATGTTGTTTAATAGTCACTTGTTTCCATAGACAGAATTTGGAGAGTTCACATGCAGACATGTTTAAGATCAGGTAACAGATCAGCAAGAGATCTTACTTCAAGGAAAAGATAATTTAGGGTTGAAGAAAGCTAGGTTATCATTAAAAAGTTACTTCAGTATAAATATTTCAATTTTATACAGCAAGGTATATATGAAGCCAGAAGAGAAAGACAATTAGGTTTTTAAATTAATTTTCTTCTTTGTGGAATCTGAAATTTTATATGTGAAGACAATGTCAGGCTGATGCACTATTTTTGGAAAATACTGCCTTGAATTCTTTCTTTGTCTAGGTAAAGAAGAGCTGCAGGAAGATGGTGCTAAGATGTTGTATGAAGAGTTCCAAAGAGTGAAGGAGCTGACGTGGCCGGGCCGGAGACTGGATTTAGACACAGCTCACATCTTCTGTCAGTGGCAGTCCTGTCTCCAGATGGGGATGTATCTCAACCAGCTGCTGTCCACTCCTCTCCCAGAGCCAGACCTAACTCGGTAAGCATCACGGGAAACTTTAGTTCAGATGGATACATACAAAAGTGAATATTCTTATTTATATCTAAAATAAAGAAGTTACTTTATAAAGTTATTCTTAGTAGAATTGATCTTGGATCACATTTATCACTGAAGAGCTGGAAACAGGAAAAACATTGTTATTTTCATATTCTCAAAGCATGTTTTCATGATCAGATCCAATGAATAAAAATCACTGGGGAAAGAGAGGCAGCTATTGGTATAACAGAACTTATTCCCTTCAGGTATTTATTACTTTATAGAAGCTACTTCTTATGACACTACTGAAATATTACTGTATCCCCATTCACTCTAGTTTGTTATTTTATGAGACTTTTTAAATTGCATCTCTTACCACCTGTCATAATCTTTACTCTCATTCATTCCAGTATTTATTAACTGCCTACTTTGTGTTAGGGTTTCATAAACAACAAAAATCTCTGTTCTCGTGGAACTTTTATTCTAGTAAGATGATTATTCGACTTCATTTAGGGTTTGTGTCCTGCCAAATAATTATGAAGACAGGAGAGGCAGTAAGGGAGTTGAGCCTGTGTTCCTGAGAGTAGTATTATATTTGACTCTGGAGTTTTAAGCTGGGTAAGAAGAAATGATAGCAGTAGGATTTGAGCCAGTGAAAAAACTGTGATTAAGGGATTGGACATCTTTGTAATTACCCTTCTGGGAGGTACTAGAGGAAGAAAGGAGGAGGAAAAGGTGATGGTTAGAAATGAGAGTATTTGAAATTGAATCTACAACATCCCCAACTCCTAACCAACATTTTTTAAATGAAAACAATGTATAAGTTCTATGAGGGCAGGGATTTGACTATTTAATTTATGACTGTAGCCCTAGTACCCTGCACTTTGAGCGATAATTTAGGAGGTATACAAAATATGATGGTGTAACTCTGAAGATGTTTCAAGATAAAAAGCTTCCTAGCAATAAATAAGTGTCCTTAAAATCTCTGGGCCTCATCTGAGCTAACCCAAAAACCCACAACCAAGTAAAATTAATTGGTTTTTGAACTTGGATTTTTTTATTCCTTTTCCTTTAATAATTTAAGTCATTTCCTTACTGGATCCTCTCTAGCTACCACAGATTCCCTATACAACAACAGGAAAAACAAGACCAAACAGTTCTCTTAATAATGATTTCAGCAGGAGATTGTTCCTGCACCTCAGCATAATCAAGGCTTTATTTTAAATTATTTTACTCTGGTTAAATGTTGGTTCTACATTGGTTGATAAGGCACCGGTTGATCAACTCTAAGTCATATATTCAATTTGAGAGTTCCAGTTAATCCCATCTTCTATTTGTGAAGTGGGATTTTAGTCCAAGTGAATGACCTTGCAAATTATGCCATTACAATTTTCAAGAATTTTAACAAACTGCCTGTTTGGCTTATCAAGGTCATTTTAATTCCTTTTCTTTGAAGTGATAAAGAGGCCTATTTGGGGTTAGTTGCAAAACCAGTAATCATCATAATTTAATAAAAAGTTTTTATATATCACCAGCCAGTAATTTTTTAATCACTAAGTTCCTTTCAACGAAGAACAAGATAATTCTGAAATTATTTTAATAATTTTAGAAAAAAACAGTAAGAGCTCTCAGTGTTGATAAAAATTTATTGAAGCCATGTTAATCATACCTGACCCACTGCACTAATCTGATGCTTTACAACCATACTTTTTTTTTTTTCCCCACTGAACAGACTGTATAGTGGAAGCCTGGTGCATGGACTATGCCAACAACTGCTAACATCAGCCTCTGTAGAAAGTCTCCTGAGCATGTGTCCTGAGGCTAAGCAACTTTATGAACACCTGTTCAATGCCACAAAGTCATATGCCCCAGCTGAACTCTTCTTACCAAAGGGTAAATCAAATTCAAAAAAAAAAAGAAAGAAGAAAAAGGGTACCACCTGGTCAAAGAACAGAGTGGGAACTGCCTCAGATCCCCGATGCTTGTATGAGGGAAGCAATCGATTTGGGTTATTAATGGTTGAAAACTTGGAGGAACATACTGAAGCCACCAATACTGAATAAACTCAAGTCTACATATACTACATGTATAATTCTAACTTAAAATTTTGCTCTTACCTCCCTTGAAATAATTAGCTCTTTTCTTTAGAACTTAGAGGATAAACATGACGACACATAATTATTGGATTCTGACATATTTTGTATTCTATTTTTAATAAAGATAACCTGATTTTAAAAAGCTTCTGATATCGCTTAAACACACTTATGAAAAAGCATATATGTACTTCTCATGTTCCATTTCAGTAAGTTATAAATTTTAAAACTGCAACAGCATAGTTAGCTATATTTTCAAAGAGAAGAAGTCCTACTTCAATTGATTACTAAAAATAGTAAGCTGGTAATCATTTCAAAAAATTTCTTTGTTTTTTACGTATGAAAAATCTGAACTGTGAAAACAGAAGTTAGATGCCAACAAAAGAAAATAAAAACTTAGTAGATGAGACCATGCAAAGCTGATAAGCGCTATAGATACACTTCAGATTTTAAAGCAGCAGTTGAAACTATAATGGCGCCAGCTACAAAAACAGCATGCTGAGCTATTAGATATAGAGGAGGAAAAAACAATAAGAAATGAAAATAACACAAATATGTGCAGCAAAACAAGACTTTAGACCTTGTTTTGAAAAGTAGTTAATGAGTCATAACCAGTTGTTATTGGGTTTGTTTTTTTATTTTTATTCCATCCTGGGGATCCAACCAAGGGCCTTAACACACACTAGGCATGTGCTCTACAACATCCCCAACTCCTAACCAACATTTTTTAAATGAAAAAAATTAGTCTAGAAAATATCAGATACATATATTAAGCGGTTATGAAAAATTATTTTTTACTGTAATCAAAAAAGTTTGAAAGGCACCATTCTAGAAAATACTAGAGGCTGCTAACATTACAAATACCAACAGATATAAAAGTGCTGGCCAGTTCCAAATAAAGAACACGAAAGTAAAAATAAACAAGTAGAATGATTCAATACATTTGGGCAAGATCTGAAAGTATTCCAACCTTCATCTGTTCACACAGCTGTGTTCGTCCTCTCTTCTTCCACTGGCATATTCTCCATCAGTAATCTAAAGATGTGTTCAACTGGCATTTTGAACAAGCCCATGCCCTATTCCTGATATCCAGTAAACAATTCTCTACACTTTCCTTGAAATACCACACCTCAGAATAAGCCCAGCACCAGGCAATGTCATACATACCTTGCAAGTGTTGACTGGTTTTAGCCATTTACAAAGGGTAAAGCAATGTCATTTGCATTTGGAGTGTTCAATGCTGCTTCCATTTCAAGTGAGAGTTTTGAAATAAGGAAATATCTTTATCATTTTAGGAAGAATGCAGAGGGCTACTTAGGTTTTTATATCTCCAAAGAGATGTTTCATTCTTAGAAAGATCAAGGAAAGAGCTTATCTGTTTTTATGAAGTGTGTTTTAACCACAAACAGTGGATCTAACAGGAACAATAATCATGTTATCCAAAATTCTCTCTTCCTTGATTCCTAGAGTTTGGGGCTGATCTAGAAATTATAATGTCCTATTTCCTGAATTATCAATACTTCTTTTGAAAATCAAACTACCCTGCATGGAAAACCATTTCCACTTTGGCAATTAACTTGTTTGGTAGGCAGCAAATTGAGAGTATATGGGCTACAGAGTTTAATTGAAAGTCAACTGAACTACATCAACTGTCTTTTCCCTTCACTTAATGGGTTCTCCTTTAGCAAAAAGAAGTCAGATTTCCTTCTCTGGCCATTGTAATCTGGGCTTTTTACTTGAAATTATCCCACCTTGCAGTAAAGGGGTTAAGAATCTAATGTCCAAGCCAGGTACAGGGGCACATGCCTGTAATCCCAGTGGCTCGGGAGGCTGAGGGAGGAGAATCTTGAGTTCAAAGCCAGCCTCAGCAACAGCGAGGCACTATGCAACTCAGTGAGACCCTGTCTCTAAATAAAATACAAAACAGGGCTCAGTTGTGGTTCAGTGATTGAGTGCCCCTGAGTTCAATCCCTGGTACCAAAAAAAAAAGTCAATTCTCTCTTACTCTGGGGTAACTCGGTGTTAAACCTTCTGTATTAGCTGAGAGGTCATGGGCATTACACAGGGTGGTCTAAGGAGGGTCACCACAGAATGAGGATATATACCTGATCCTCAAAAGACTTCTTGTTTAAGCTGCTCTGAAGACAATACACAATGAAATAACAAGAATATTTTATAAAACAGTCTGTCGGGTACAAAATTGTAAAGACAAGACTGAATGCTACAAGGAGACTGCAATTACCAGGAAGAGGTTAAACCACAGGACTCCCAGACATGACTTAAGGCCTGGCTTGATTGAAGAGATAGGATTAAATTCAGATCAGGAAAAGGAGAAAATGAGAACACCTATGTAAATGCAGAATGTGATATGTCCCATGTTCCACTTCTACAATGTTTCCTGTTGTCAATCATGTCTTTAGGTAAGTCCTGGTGTTTTTTGTTTGGTAGTTTTTGCAGTATTAGGGATTGAACCCAGGGGCATTGTACTACTGAGAATATATATACATATATCTCCCCAGCCCTTTCAATTTTGAGACAGGGTCTCACTAAGTTGCCAAGGCTAGCCTTGAACTTGTGTTTCTCCTGCCTCAGCCTCCAGATCCTTGGGATTCCAGGTATGTGCACTGCACCGGGCAATCAGTCCTGCTCTTTCTGATTTAGTTCTAGCAAATGAAATCTCACCTGAGGCTTTAGAAATGTAGTATTCGATTAGCAGTTCAAGTAACAAAAAGAACTCTGGACAGCTAAGATGAATAAATTTTAGGGGTAAAATTAGAGAAAAAAACCATTTACTTTATATAATGTAATCATGCTCTGTACTTAGTGATAATGATATTTTAAGTCTATTTTGTACAAGTTCATTTTGAGTTACCTGGATCTTGAAAATTCATTCATCTGTAAA